AAAGTAAACAATATAATGTGAAATAAGTTAAAAAAAGAAAGTTATTCCAAAAAGTGATCCTTTCTGGGCAATATAAAAATATGTAGACTATTAATAAAGCTGACTGTGTGAGGAGCTTGTTACATACATATTTCTGAGCCCCCACACTCAAGGATTCAGGGATTCTCATTCAGGCATCCCCCAGACCCCATCCACACACACCCAGCCAGGTTTTTGCTTTTATTTTTTTTTGAGGAGGAGTCTTGCTCTGTTGTCCAGGCTAAAGTGCAGTGGTATGATCTTGGCTCACTGCAACCTTTGCCTCCCAAGTTTGACTGATTCTTCTGCCTTAGCCTTCCAAGTAGCTGGGATTACAGGCATGCACCACCACACCCGGCTAATTTTTTTTTTTTTTTTTTTTTTTGGATTTTTAGTGGAGATGGGGTTTTGCCATATTGGCCAGGCTGGTCTTGAACTCCTGACCTCAGGTGATCCACCCACCTTGGCCTCCCAAAGTGCTGGGCTTACAGGTGTGAGCCACCGCGCCCTGCCACCCAGGCTAATTTTTATGCACAGCCTAGTTTCTACCATTTGGGGGCACCTTTGAGAATTTGATGTAAACTGTGGATCCTCGCCCCCGAAAACCCAATGGACACACCAAAGCCTGGGTAGAACTTGGAGGGGAGGAGTGGTCCATAACTCCAGCTAAGAGGAAAGATGAGACGTCACCTCCCCTCATTTCCTCGTTTCTATTTATTCTCTGAAGGCCCCTTCCTCCCGTTCCCTAAAGGTTGAGACCCCTTGCCAGGCAGAACAGGCTCCCCCCAGGTCCTTGCTGAGGTTGGCGCCCCTCCCTTTTGTGTTTCTGTGCGGGTCACTGCTGAGGGCTGCGGGCAGTAGTCGGCAGGGTGGTGGCCCTGACACCTGCTCTGAGAACCTGCCTGTGCTGCATGTGGGGCACTTCCTGCCCCCCACCGTCCCCGCTGCAGGACAGCTCTTGGGTCGCCCTGAGGTTTCCGCCTTCTCCACACTCTCCCTGCTTCTGGTCCAGAGGAAGCAAGCTGCCTCTGGCTGCACAAGGCTAATGATGCTGCCTCAGTGTTCTCACCCTCCGTCTTGTTACCATCAGCCGCAAAAGTCCCCCACGTGTGCATGCAGTGCAGCTCCACTGTTGCATGAACGCTGCCCTGGGCCCTGGAATGAGACGGGAATGGGGTCGGAGTCGTGGCGATGTGTTGGAAGGTGGGCTGTAGGCAGTATCATAAACTTGAGGACCCCAAGAACAGTTGACTAACAGACTTCCTTTCTTTTTTTTTTATTTTTTTAATTTTAAGATGGAGTCTCACTCTGTCTCCCAGGCTGGAGTGCGGTGGCCCAATCTTGGCTCATTGAAACCTCCGCCTCCTGGGTTCAAGCAATTCTTCCGCCTCAGCCTCCCGAGCAGCTGGGACTACAGGCACCCACTACCAAGCCCGGCTAATTTTTGTTTTTGTTTTTTTTTAATTTTTTCTTTTTTAAAAAGATGGGGTTTCACCATGTTGGTCAGGCTGGTCTTGAACTCTCGACCTCAGGTGATCCACCCTCCTTGGCCTCCAAAGTGCTTGGATTACAGGCGTGAGCCACCATGCCTGGTCTAATTTTTGTATTTTTAGTAGAGATGGGGTTTCACCATGTTGGCCAGGCTGATCTTGAACTCCTGACCCCATGATCCACCCACCTTGGCCTCCCAAAGTGTGGGATTACACAAAGTGTGAGATTACGCCAGGCCCAGACTTCCTCTTTTTGTGTGTGCCTCCAAAAGCCAGGGACTACTCAGGCAGTGGACAGTTGTATAGCTTCTAAGAGAAAAAGGCAGTCAGGAAGTGTCAGGTCCATTTGGGAAGAGATGTCCGTGGCCTTGGCCACCAGGTGGCATCACTGACCCTTCTGGAGGAGCAGTGTGTCTGGGAAGTCATATCCATTTACAGCCCCCATCCCCCACCATCCTCCCCAGCTTCCTGTCCAGGACCAGGGCCCAGCCTTTCACCAGCAGGTCTGGTGCCCTGAACCCGAGGCACTGGCCCTACCTGCTCCCCTCTTAGTCCTCATGTGTCCTCAGTCCTGCCCAGAGAAGCACCTCATTTCTCTTTTTTTTTTTTTTTCCTGAGACGGAGTTTCACCCTTGTTGTCCAGGCCGGAGTGCAATGGCACAATCTCAGCTCAACACAACCTCCACCTCCAGGGTTCAAGTGATTCTCCTGCTTCAGCCTCCCGAGTAGGGATTGCAGGCATGTGCTACCACGCCTGGCTGATTTTGTATTTTTCGTAGAGATGGGGTTTTGCCATGTTGGCCAGGCTGGTCACAAACTCCTGACCTCAGGTGATCCACCTGCCTTGGCCTCCCAAAGTGCTGGGATTACAGGTGTGAGCCACCACACCTAGTCAGAGCACCTCGTTTCTGTTGCCATCACAGCTCCTCTTGGCTTTACTGCTCAGCAGCGATGGGACAAAGGGGGGGAACACACGGCAGGACAGGCTCCTCTTGGCCTTGGCATAATAAACAGAAAATCCACACGTTTTCCTTACTTTTAATATCTAAGATAAAAAAACCCAACCACCGAAACAATCCATTTGCATGTCAGCGACACGCCTGGTCTCAGGCTCCCTTTCCAGGGCTGTCCTCCCGGCGGCTCCCAGGCCCTCATCCTGGGGGAGAGCCCATTCTCGGCCGGAAGCCACCATGGCCTCCAGCTCGGCACCGAGACAACCTGGGACCCAGCCTTGCAGGAAGGCCACCAGGAACTGTTTTTAAAGCATGTGGCCGCACAAGGAGGAAGTTTTCCCTTGAGGTTGAGCTGAGAGTTATTTCTTGTGGAGAAATTTCATTTTATTGCCTAAAAGAAAGAAAATGAGAACATTTCACAGGGCAAGGGACGGTGACATCAGTCTTGCCCTTTTCACCCAGAAGTAGTGTGGGTAATGGGGCCCCCACGCCGCCCCAGGGAGCCTTATCCCTTGCTCTGGAGAAACCAAAGGGGGTTGTTCTTTCCAGAGATTCCCCTGTGGTCTTCCTCAGACTTGGGGGGGTTTGAAAGGAAGACCATCAGAGCTGTTTAGGAGGGCTGGCTTCTGCTGTGGTAGTAAAGGAAGCACCGAATCAACACATCACTCAGGAGCCAAGGGAAGAGAAAGTGCACAGCAATGTGTGTATATTTAAAACACTCCTCTTCCAGGCAGTCCTCCGTCCTGCAGGAGGCACAGACATGGCACCCTTGCAGGCCCTGTGGGAGGGCCTCACTGCTGCAGACGCTTCCCTACTGGGGCCTCCGTCCTGTTTTCCTGTTGTCTTCTTCATCCTCCCTTTCCCTGTCAGTGCCTCTTTACTGATTAAACTGCAGTCCTTGTACGTCTCACATTTCTACTTTCCAGGGGAATTTTGGACACCAGTGCGAGTCTTTGTTGCCAGACATCCTTGTCGGGTTCCCACCATGCTCCCTTGGCTCAGTTCCCCTGAGGTTTTAGAGTGTAGATCATGGAGAAAGAAGATAGCAAGAAAGCCCAGGGGCCCAGAAAAAGGGGGTGCTGGGGGCACTGCTTCCTTTGTTTCCTCTTTGGGGACAGATGAGAACCGGGAGTTAAAATGCCCGTAGCATCTGCCCAGGGCAGGCCGTAGGGCTCTGTGTTATTCAGGGTGCTGGCTCCAGTGGAGGGAACTGGCTGGAACTCCGTGATAGACAGCTCAGAGGCACGAGGGCTGGGGACCCGGAGCCCGGGGTCTTACCTAGTCCCTTCAGGAACTTATTGACGCCGCTGTGCTCGCCACTGGGGAGGGTTTCCAGATACTCTTGGGCTCGGACCTCAAACAGACCTGTTAACCAGAGAAATCGCAGCCATTTTAGGTCTTGGTCTTTGCATGTCTAAACGTGTCCATTTCCTCCCTACCAGAGAAAACAGAAAACTTCTTCCTGAGAGTAAGCTGCTCCCATAAACATGCTGTGAATCAGGAGATGTATAAGGGTTTTACTGCCCTTATCGTTGCCCCACCTGTGCAGTAACTGTCTTTGGAAGGCTGTAAAGTCACCTCCTAGATAAAATCCTATTTTTATTCAACAAACGCCTTCCAAGCGTCTACACTGTGCCAGGCAGGTGTTTTTTTAATTTTTTTTTTTTTTTTAAAGACGAGGTTTCACCATGTTGGTCAGGCTGGTCTTAAACTCCTGACCTCGGGTGATCCGCCCGCTTTGGCCTCCAAAGTGCTTGGATTACAGGCGTGAGCCACCACGCCCGGCCGTGGCAGGCGGTTTTAAAGATGAACCAGACTGATCTGGCTCAGGAGTGCCCATGTGCTGCCATTTCCCTGTATTCTCCCATAAGAGGGTCCTGGCCAGGTGGCTTAGTTTTCCCGGAGTCCCTCTGTGGAGGAGGATGGCTGGACAGGCCAACTCCTAGGCAGCTTCAGACCCCTAGGGTCTGAGGTTCAGGCACTCTGTCTTCACTGCTGACTGATCTTTCATGGACAGAGGATTCTTTTTTTTTTTTTTTTTTTTTGGGACGGAGTTTCACTCATGTTACCCAGGCTGGAGTGCAATGGCGCGATCTCGGCTCACCACAACCTCCGCCTCCTGGGTTCAGGCAATTCTCCTGCCTCAGCCTCCTGAGTAGCTGGGATTACAGGCACGCACCACCATGCCCAGCTAATTTTTTGTATTTTTAGTAGAGACGGGGTTTCACCGTGTTGACCAGGATGGTCTCGATCTCTTGACCTCGTGATCCACCCGCCTCGGCCTCCCAAAGTGCTGGGATTACAGGCTTGAGCCACCGCGCCCGGCCTGACAGAGGATTCTTTCCAGGATTTTTTTTTTTTTTTTTTTAGTTTTGCTCTTATCACCCAGAATGGAGTGCAACCTCCATCTCCTGGGTTCAAGCGATTCTCCTGCCTCAGTCTCCCGAATAGCTGAGATTACAGTTACCTGCCACAATGCCTAGCTAACTTTTTTTGTATTTTTAGTAGAGACAGGGTTTTATCATGTTGGTCAGGCTGGTCTTAAACTCCTGACTTCAGGTGATCCACCCGCCTCAGTCTCCTAAAGTGCTGGGATTACAGGCATGAGCCACTGCGCCAGCCTTTTTTTTGGAGACAGAGTTTAGCTGTGTTGTCCAGGCTGGAGTGTAATGGCTGGATCGTGACTCTCTGCAAGCTCTGCCTCCCGGGTTCAAGCGATTCTCCTGCCTCAGCCTCCTGAGTAGCTGGGATTACAGGCATCTGCCACCAGACCTGGCATTTTTGTATTTTTAGTAGGGACAGGGCTTTACCAAGTTGGCCAGGTTGGTCTCGAACTCCTGCCCTGAGATGACCTGCCTGCCTAGGCCTCCCAAAGTGCTGGGATTACAAGCGCACGCCACTGCACCTGGCCTTTTCCAGGTAGGTTTTTTTTTTTTCCTGAGATGGAGTTTCACTCTTGTCGTCCAGGCCGGAATGCAATGGCACAATCTTGGCTCACTGCAACCCCCGCCTCCTGGGTTCAAGTGATTCTCCTGCCTCAACCTCCTGAGTAGCTAGAATTATAGGTGTGCGCCACCACACCCGGCTAATTTTTGTATTTTTAGTAGAGATGGGGTTTTACCATGTTGGTCAGGCTGGTCTCGAACTCCTAACCTCGTGGTCTGCCCACCTTGGCCCTCCTAAAATGCTGGGATTAAGGTGTGAGCCACCAGGCCTGGCCTCCAGGTAGCTTTTAAGCTTGTGTGTCTCCCACCTCTCTTACCAAGTGATGGGTAAAGAGATATTTAAATGTATCTGGGAGATCTATTAATATTTAAAACACTCCTTTGGCAGGTGCCTCCTGTAACTCATACTCTCCAATCAGCTTTTCCTTTTTTTTTGAGATGCAGTCTCACTCTCCCAACCAGGATGGAGTACAGTGACATGATCTCGGCTATTGCAACCTCCACCTCCCAGACTCAAGTGATCCTCCCACCTCAGCCTCCGAGTAGCTGGGACCACAGGTGCACACCACCATGCCGGTCTAATTTTTTAAAATATTTTTTGGGCCGGGCGCGGTGGCTCAAGCCTGTAATCCCAGCACTTTGGGAGGCCGAGGCAGGTGGATCACGAGGTCAAGAGATCGAGACCATCCTGGTCAACATGGTGAAACCCTGTCTCTA